TAAGCAATTTATGAAGGCTTCAGCATGTCATAAACTTAAAGCTACAAGAAACAAATAAATAGAAAAAGAAAGAAGAAAAAAAAGCACTTATTCAAGAAAAATCAAGAACTGGTTCAAAGCAAGTGATAACTTACACAGATTCTGAAACGGGATTTACAATCTCCCTTAGTTAAATGTTAAACTGAAAACTCAACATCTAAATTAAACTGAAAAACCAAAAAATTCAGCATCTAAGTTGAATGTTGAAACTGAGAAATCAACATCCAAGTTCAACTGAAAAATCGAAACTCTAGCATCTAAGTTCAATGTTAAAACTCAAAAATGAGCATCTCAGTTCAACTGAAAAACAGAAACAGAGACGATATTTATTTTACCAAATCATGCAAATAAAGCCCTACACTGTGAAAGAATTAACTAATTTACTACAGGGGTGGACCTCAGTGTTAACAAACTGGCCCATAGCCCACCGTAAACTGAAAAATCAGCATCGACGTTCAACTTCAAAATCCAAAATTTCACCATCTACGTTCAATGTGCATAGTTCAGAGGAGGAGACATGTGCATAGTTCAGAGGAGGAGACCGACCTAAACCCTAAACCGCAAACTCAGTGCAAGTTTGTGAAGTTTTTACTTTCAATTTGGGTAAAAACAATTTAACAAACCGTGAAAGACCATGTATAGTCACCTTATACATCTTCATAAATTAAAACATAAACTTTCAAAACCAACATATTTCATGTCAAAATCGCAAGTTACCAGTAATAGAACGGTTCCGAGATGATGTCAATCGATTTTGTGGTGGAATAAGACCGTCTCTGATACGGCATTCAGTTTGAAAAAAGGTGCAGCGCTGTGCCAAAGCAAGGTGCTGGAGTTGTACGGCTGTCGGAGGTTGGGATGACGTCGGAAGTGCTGGAGTTCACCGGCTGCTGAAGGGTTGTGATTTTGGGAGGAAGGGTTTCTTTGAATTGATTTGGGGGAAAATGACGGGAAGTGTGGAGAGAGAGAGAGAGGGGAGGTGGGTTTTCTAATTTTCAATTTTTTTTTATTCACGCCACGTCACTTTGTAAAGTAGCTTTGTCAAGCTACTTTGTACGAGTAGCGCGATCGATATACTAATGTTTAATCATTTACATCTGACGTGGTCCGATAGTAACCATAAAGATTATTGTACACTACATAGATAAATTGCAGATAATGCATACAAAATTATTACTTTAAAGTAATTGAATTTCCTCATAATGATCCAAATATTTTTATACTTTAATGAACACTATTAGAGAATTTAATTGTAAAAATAAAATCCGTAGTTTTACATTTGACAATAGAATGATCAACAAAGTAGTAATTGATAAATTAGCTTTAAACCTTTACCCAATTTTGGTGTTATACTATTTTCATATCCTTCATGTTCTTCACATTTTCAATTTAATTGTAAAAGATAGTCTAAAATTCTTAGAAGTGCATCTAAAAAAATAGGTGCTCTCTTAACAATATTACGATAGTAGAAAACAAATATTGTTGAATTATGTGAAAAACTGAACTAAGCGCTAATTTATCACGGACGTATGTCATCGATGAAACTCAACTTATCTTATGCTACATTCTTGTGAGGATACGAACATTGCATTACTACTTGTTACATTGGCCGATGCTTACATAGTCCGAAATTTAATTTTCAAGAACATGATTGGAAAATTTAATTTAAAGTGAGAATTTTTTTTGAAAGTTTTTATGATGCTACAAAGGCATGTTCAGGCATATGTTATCTCACTAGTTTACTCGTTCTCACTCATTTTAGTACGTATAAAGTATTTTCCATTTTTCTAATATCGTAGTAGCGATGAATATTAAGTTTAGGAAATACTAGAAGGAATAGCCCGTGTTGTTTCCGTTAGCTTCACTAATTGACTCTAGGTTTAATTTAGAGGATACTAAACATTTGTAAATGGAATTTCATAAAAATAAGATTTTTGATCTCCAGTTATACTCTAGATATAAGTTTACCTAAAATGTATAAGATGTGCACTGAAAAGATCGATAGGAATGTTCAACAGTCCCCCTCCATTGTAAGGATGGAAACAGGATGAGGCGGGAGAGTGGCGATCATTCTCCTCTCTCGTCTCATCAGATATTTTTGTCATATTGTTCTACTCCCATACTCAGTTAAGACAGGGCAAGTTCGGGACGGTCAAATCTTATGCCCCATTTATTTTTACTAATTTTTGTTTTATTATTTACTTTTTTTTCCCTTTTTTAATGTCTTTAGTTGGTGAGAATTATTACTTTTTTTGTTTCAATTCGTAGAACAACACTTACAAAAGGATAACCATGTTTCATGTACCTGTCTCGTCCCTTCTTCCGCCTCAGATTAGCTATCTCCAACCCACCCCCTCGGCCTGTACCCCGAGTAGAAAGGAAATGAGGCAGGGGCATATGGGTATCAAGTATCTCCAACCCACCCCCTCGCCCTGTACCTCGATTAGAAAGGGAATGAGGCAGGGGAATAAGGGTATCGAGTATTTTTTGCTATTCCTAGTCCATTGTTGCAAGAAGACAATAATTTATCATTATGGAACTATGATACTTGTTGTAAAGTTGCTCAATATTCTAATATTTCTTCTTCCCTTGTTCAAGGTATGAGCATAAAAGTTTTCAACTTTTTTCTAGAAAAAGACAAACGACGGCCTCAGTTCGAACCATGAGGCCCACAAGCCAATGAGTTGAAATAAGTTGTTTTAAACATATACCTGAAATGAGTTGTTTCAAACGAGGATATATACATAGATAGCCTAAATACAAAGTCATATTTCAAAAATGGCCTTTGACTTTTCTAAAAAATTTGAACTACCTAAAATACCCCAAATAGAATATTTATCTAAATATAACCAAGATATGAAAAGAATACAATCAAGTCCTAAAAAATTAGATTCTCATAAAATAACCTACAAAAAATCAAGATCTAAAAGAGGCCCATACAAGATTAAGAAAATTGCAAAAGATAAAAAAGAAATTGAAT